CTATGGGTCAGTATCGACTCGATGGCACCTAACAACAAAAACAACAAATATGGCCCATGGGCTGCACGTTCCCTACCCCTGCTTAGAGGGTAAGTCTGAGGGAGAAAGATGAGGCTTTCGGCTCCCAATAAGATGTACAGCCTCAGAAACCCTATACAGGGTTGCTGTGAGTTCAAACCAACTCAATGGCACCAAACAACAACTTTACAACATCAATCATACAGACATTCCATTCCACATATACCCACCCACACCTACACACTACATACACATATCCTACACACCTCACACACATCCCATACTACACATACACACATGAATACATACATACAAGAAGGCTTCAAAAAAGAAGAGAATTGAAAGGAGACGTTTTTCCATGAATTTTCTGAAACTCCCTCATATCTCAGATACCACCCACTATATATATATACACACACACACACCCTACATACTACATACACACCTCACACATACATACTACACACAAACACTCCACACACATTCATCTTTGCCCAACTCCTGACAGAACCCACAGCCCAGACCAGGTGAGCAAGACCCCACACCTTTTCTGACCTCAGTTTCCAATCTGTAAAATGGTAACATTGTACTTGATGCAGTTTTGAAACAATTACAGAGATTCTGCATAGGGTTTCCAAGGAGCAGCTGGGAAGTTTGAACCACTGACCTTGTGGTTCAACCCAACCCTGTGGTCCAGTGCTTTATCCCATAGTGCCAGGCCTTCTAAGGATGCTGCTCAGTTATAAATGATATATGCTCTTGTCAGCAGCTGTGATACAGATACTGACTCACGGTGAGCCCACATACAACGGGATGGGACCATTGTGATCCACAGAGTCTCCAGGGGCTGATTTCAGGGAAGTTGATCACCAGGCCTTTCTTCCTGGTCCCTTTAAGTCTGGAAGCGCCACTGAAATCTTGTTCAGCATCATAGCAATGCACAAGTCTCCAGTGACAAGAGAGGGGCTGGGAGGTGGCTGTGCATGAGAGGCGTAGGTAGGGAATAGGTAAAACATTTAGCACACATTTGGTTTGGAGCGAGAGCTACTTAAACATTAGTGAGACGTAAGGGGTGGGGGAAGATCCTGCCCACCGTCATTCTTGTATCCTTCCATCCTCTCTTCTCTTCCACCTCTCTCCCCCTCCTCTGATCCCAACCCTCTGAGAAGGTATGCCTGTGTTTTCAAAGACCAACAATTTCTTGATGGGCTAAAGACGCAGCAATGATTTATATGTGCTTATGAGGGGTCCTACCAAAACTATGGGAAATTAAATACATTCCAGGTACCAAAACACGGCAGATGTGGGAGGAGAGGGGAGGGGAGGACCTACCTTGCATCCTGCTCAAAGAACCAAAGGTGACAGAAAACAGAGGGGCAGGTCACAGGGGGTCTCTCGGGATGGAGCTCTCTGCTGGGACTGGGCTGGGAGCTGCTTTTCAAAGCATTCTCCACAAAGGGCTGGAAGATGTGTACCCCAGAGATTCCTGGTTTGCTGATCACTGCAGCCCAAGAGCTCATGAATATTTAATAACCACTATCATGTTTCAGGGAGTCCTGGTGCGGAGCTGCGAGCTAATGCGCTGGACTGCAAAGTCAGTTTGAACTGCAAGGTCAGCGGTTCAAGCTCACCAGTTGCTTCTCGGAAACCCTATACAAGGTTGCTATGGGTCAGAACCGACTCGACGGCACTTAACAACAACATCAGTTTTTAGGGAGACCACAGTGGAGCACTGTGGTCTAATATGCTGGATTGCAAAGTTGGATTGAACTGCAAGGTCGACAGTTCAAGCTCATTAGTCGCTCCTCGGAAACCCTATACAAGGTTGCTATGGGTCTGAACCAACTCAACAGCACTTAACAACAGTATCATCACTTTTCAGGGAGTCCTGGTGTGGCGCTACAGGGTAATACGCAGGACTGCAAGGTCAATTTGAACCACAATTTGGTCGTTCAAACTTACCAGCCACTCCTTGGAAACCCAATACAGGGTTGCTATGGGTCGGAACTAACTCAACGGCATTTAACAACAACCTCGCTTTTCAGAAAACTTGTTTTCTAAGCGCTTTATGTATCACACAACCATTTTCCTTAACAAGGTTAGGAAGCTCGGTTACCATACCCATTTTCCAGATGGGGAAACTAAGGCCCTGAAACATTAAGTCACTTGTCCAAGGCTGCACAGCCAGAAAACAGCAGAACCTGGTTCAAACACAGTCAGGATTCAGAGCTCAGGACTGTGTAATGATGTCACTGCAACTGCCGCTGCCACTACCCGCATGTGACACCCTGGTCATGTGCCAGGTCCCAGCGAAGGGGTTTCCATACCCAGTTAGGCTGCAGTTAGTACTCCTACTGCCCTCACCTTACAGGAGGGGAACGTGAAGTTCCGAGAGAGACTTGCCCACAGTCACGCAGCAAGGACCCAATAGAGACAGGCTGGCTGGTGGAGAAACTAGAAGGCAGGATGGAATACGGGCTTAGCGTTTCCCAAGCTCTCCTGCCTTCACCTTTGGGGTTCACAATGATTATTTAATGAAAGCGGATCCCCAGCTCCCCAGCACATTCCCAGGGTCAGGTTCTGTGGTAAGCAAGCACTCTGCATCTTTGGGTCCATGAGTCCTTGAATCACTCCTATGCATGGGGGGGGGGCATTAGCAGAGGGAGAAACTGAGGCTTGGAGGGGTCAAAGCCTCCGTGAGAAAAGGTTCCTTTCTTCTCTACATTCAAACTTCTGCTCTGGTACCCTCTGCTCAGCCAGGCCTTTCCTGACCCGCTTACAAATCATTATGCGCTTGCCCAAGGCCACCCTAAGCAGGCAGTTCCTGATATGGAATTTGTGCCTGAGATGTCCCACATGTATGGAATTAGAGACACCAGACAGCCCAATCCGAGGAATGTTCTACGACGTGTTATCATGGGCTGCCTTTGAGTCGATTCCGACTCCTGGAGACCTCGTGTGTGCAGAGCAGAACCATGCTTCCTTAGAGTTTTGAATAGTTAAAATTTTTTGGAAGCAGACCAGAAGTCAGGTCTTTCTTCCGAGGTGCCTCTAGGTGGAGTCAAACCACAGACCACTGGGTAATTTCACTTAGCATCCGGTTTACAGTGTTTGCTCCCGCTGTAGCATATTTGAGAACAAGGATTTTGTCTGTCGCTGTGAGATCTGCAAAGCCTAAGTCAGCCCCTGACATACAGCAGGTGGTGCTGTTACTGTCGTTAATGCCGTCAAAATCAGTTCCAACTCAACACAACCCCATATACGGTTCCCAAGGAGCAGCTGATGGATTTAAACTGCTGACCTTGTGGCTCACAATCCAGGAGTCCAGACAAGTAGGTGGCCAATATTTAGTCACCGAAGTTGCCAAGACCCAGCCCTCTACCACAGCCCTTGATGGTCCACTTGGTCCAGCCTCCTTGGCAGTGGGAGCCTGGGTTCCAACCTTTGTCTTACTTCATGACCTCAGGTCAATCCGCCCCTCGGGTCCCCTCAAGGAGACATGGGGTAGGGGTGGGGGTGGGGAGGGCCTGACTTCAGGGACTACGAAGCAGAAGAGTCACATGCCCAGCCCCGGCCGGCACCTTGAGGTTGTGCCCATCGAAGGGCAGAGAGCCGCTGACGAGAGTGTACAGGATGACTCCGAGGCTCCAAATATCCACTTCTGGCCCATCGTACTTCTTGCCCTGAAACAACTCCGGGGCGGCATACGGCGGGCTCCCGCAGAACGTGTCCAGCTTCGAGCCGAGCGTGAACTCATTGCTGAAGCCGAAGTCGGCAATCTTGATGTTGGCCTCGGCGTCCAGCAAGAGGTTCTCAGCCTGAGAGGAAAGAGAAGGCAGAGGATGGGACTGGTGGCCGAAGCCCACCAGTGGGGTCTGAGCTGGCCCACCTGGACTCTCTTGATCCTGCCTCTTTGGACAGGAATTTGCTGCTTTGTGCGGTGCCTCAGTTTCCTCCTCAATGCCGACTCAAGGCAACCTCACATAAATCACAGTAGGAAGATGGGTGCTCGGCTGGGCTTTTAAGGGCTAATTTTTCAGAAGTAGATGGCCAAGTCTTTCTTCCAAGACGCTACTACTAGGTGGACACAAAGCCCAACCTTTCTGCTAGTAGCTAAATTCATTAACTACACTTCTCCATGAATTCCTCCTCTTTACCCATAAGTCCTGGTGTGGCGCTGTGGGTTAATGCATCAGACTGCAAAGCCGTTTGAACTGCAAGGTCGGCGGTTCAAGCTCACCAGCTGCTCCTTGGAAACCCTATACAGGGTCGCTATGGGTCGGAATCGACTTGACGGCACTTGACAACAACAACCCATAAGTCCACTGTCATCAGGTCAATTCCTACTCATAGTGACCCTATAGGACAAAGCAGAACTGCCCCATGGAGTTTCTAAGGCTGGTCAGGTTTGTGGAAGCAGACTGCAACCTCTTTCTCCCATGGAGTGGTTGGTGGATTTGAACTACCTAACTTCCAGTTAGCAGCCCAATGCTTAACCCACAGTGCCACCAGGACTCCTCCCTCCTCATCCACAGACAAAAGACAACCTCACAGGGTCATCTGAGGATTAACTGAGTTAACCCGTACAAAATGCCTAGACTATTCCATACCCCGGCAGTGCTACGTTGGCTACAATCTTTGCACTTCAGTTTATCCAGCAGACCCAGAGTAAAGAAAACCAATCTTCTCCTTTCGTTCACCAGCTGTGGGTCGTATCGTTTAGAAGACCGGCCGCCTAATGTGGGGTTCAGAGTATGGTTTGGGGCAGAACCCCTGCGTCAAGATCCAGCTTCACTAGACACTCGCGGTGTGACTTTGGGTGGGTTCCCAGACCTCTCTGTGCCTCCATTTCCCTGTGTGTAAACTGAGGAGCATCATAGCACCGAGCTCATAGGCTGTTAGGGGATCAAGTGTCCAGTGTTCCACATAGCACCTGGAACACAGTCAGCGTTCAATATGTGTTTCACATGGGTATCACAGTTTTGTCTGTTTCCATGGCGCGTTTTTGCAAATCGAGACAAAGGGAGGCTTATAAAGGTCACCTCAGGCCCACAGCAAGAGCGTGGCTAAGTCAGGCTCCACGCCAGGCCTGTCATTTCCAAGCTGGAGTGGGAAGATACTGATAGGAGTCTGTCTCTTGTAGCCTTTTGACTACATAAGACGCACCAGTCCTTCAAAATGTCACCCTGTCCCATGGTCCTCCCTAGTTCTAATCACCTCTGGTCCCCTCATGGTTCTCCCTGCCTCCACACATATTTCTGTATCACTCCTAGTCCCTGCCACAGCAAAGGGACCAAATACACAAAGACACACTTCAGCTAGAGCTTCCGCAAACCTGAATGTAACGACACTTCTGTAGTTCAGGAGTTAGACCCCTCTCAGCATTCGAGGCTCCACAGTCCAGCCCCAACCTCAGGTCTGGGTGGATGGGTTCCCTTGGCTGGATTCCTCTGGGGCAGCCACTTGTCAAGTGCCATCGAGTTGATTCTGACCCTTAGCAACCCTGTATAGGGTTTCCGAGGTGCAGCTGGTGAGCTTGAACCGCTGACCTTGCAGTTCAAAACGGCTTTGCAGTCTGATGCATTAACCCACAGCACCACACCAGGATTCCCATGGGGCAGCAACTTGCTCCCCCCCCCCAGCCAAAATTCAGTTTAGCCACTTCCAAGACCCTCCACCAGGGGGCATCCTGCCTCTAGAATAATCTTCAAACAGAAGGTAAAGACTGCACCCCAGCGCAGGGGAGGTAAGTGCAGAGTGAATATTTAGAAACTTCTAGAACAATCTGACAGTGACACTTTAAGCCTTTTGAATAACGTTAGAACTTGTATTTGCTATGACTATTTTCCATGACATTTCCCCATAATTCTTCCCCGCACTCCCACCCTGCAATTCATTTGTGAACATCTTTTTTTAAATGTTGCAAAGTGAGTCTGGTGGCATAGTGTGTTACATGTTGGGCTGCTAACCACAAGGTCAACAGTTCAAATTCACCAGCCGCTCCTCGGGAGAAAAATGAGGCTTTCGACTTCCGTAAAGATTTACAGCCTCAGAAACCCATCTCCTCTGGACTCCTGTCACCCTTTTTATTTTACAGAAAAGTACCTGTCCACCATAAGGAGCTCTGGTAGCATAGTGGTTACGAATCAGGCTGTGAGCTGCAAGGTCAGCAGTTTGAAACTACCAGCTGCTCCGCGGGAGAAAGATGAGGCTTTCTGCTCCCGTAAGGATTTACAGCCTCGGAAACCCTGTTCAGGGTCGCTATGGGTCGGAACCGACTCGACGGCACTTCACAACAAACAACAACACCTGTCCACCATGGGTTGGAATATAAGCACAATAAAACAAGCCTGGGTCTTCATCAGAGACAGGTTGAGAAGCACGTCCATCTGGCCCTTAAGCAAAGGAGCTGTAAGCACATAGCAAGTGCTCAAGAAGTGACAATCCAATCTGATTTGAGCCAAGTGTTTACCTCTTGGGTCTAAGAAAAGTCCTGAGAGGTATGGTTATCCCCAGGTGGGAGGCGTGTGTGTGGGGGGGAGCCCAGATCACCAGATGAGATCCCCCAAAAAGTGCCTGGCTGAGCTCTAACTTCAGTGGCTCCTTATTTTGGATACCTGTTGATACCTGCTGGCATAGTTGGTAAGGTGCTCGGCTGTCAAATGACAGGGAGGTGGTTTCGAACTCACCAGTTGCTCAGTGGGAAAAAGATGGGGCAGTAGCTTCTATGCAGATGGGTCTTGGAAGTCTATGGAACAGATCTATTCTGTCTTTGGGGTCACTACGAGACTGTGAGTCAGAACTGACTCGACACCCAGTGAGTTTCGTTTGGGTCTGTGTTCTCTAAAAACCTGTACTATAAATTCTCACCTCTGTTCCTGGGAAGGAGTCCTGGTGTGGCGCTGTGGGATAAGCATTTGACCACAAGGTCGGTGGTTCAAACTCACCGACTGCCCCTCAGAAACCCTATACAGGGTTGCTATGAGTTGGGACCGACTCGACGGCACTTAACAACAACAACATACCTGTGGGGTGAAGCCTGGTGGCATAGAGAAGCTAAGTACTGGGGTGCTAACCACAGGGTTAGCAGTTTTAATCCATGAGCTGCTCTGAGGGAGAAAGATGAGGTTGTCTGTCCCCTTAAAGACCGACGTCCTCGGAAACCCTAAGGAGCAGTTCTAACCTGTCCTATGGGGTCATTCGGAGGCCTGGGGTGGCGCTGCGGGTTAATGGGCCAGACTGCAAAGCCGTTTGAATTGCAAAGTCGGTGGTTCAAGCTCACCAGCTGCTCCTCGGAAACCCTACACAGGGTCGCTATGGGTCGGAATCAACTCCATGGCACTTAATAACAACAACATAGGGTCATCATGAATCAGAATCGACTCAATAGCAGTGGCTACAACGAATGATAGACTATCATTCGAGAACAGGATTTTCTTTGTTACATGAATGAAGCTTTATCAGTGTAATGTGGGTTTAAAGCCAATCACTTTTGAGGTATAAAAAGAACGGATCAGGCACAAAGAAGCAAGGAGAGGTGGGGGAAGACTGATACCAGGCCACAAGAAGATTACCAAGGAACAAAAGCTGAAAGGAGATGAGGACCTTCCCCAGAGCCAACAGAGAGAGTGTTCCCTTAGAGCCAGCGCCTTGAATTTACTCTTGTAACATCCTATACTATGAGAGCCCTGGTGTGGTGCTGCAGGATAAGCACTGAACTGCTCGCTAACTGCAAGGTCAACGGTTAAACCCACTAGCTGTTCCTTGGAAACCCTATCCAGAGTCACTATGAGTTGGAACCAATTCGAGGCACTTAATGACAATTAATAGCAGGAGTCTAACCACACGGATATCAGTTCAAATCCACCAGCTGCCATCTCAGAAACCCTATACAGAATCACTGTGATTCAGAACCAACTCAAAGGCACTTAACAGCAAACACGCAGTGTGAGGGAACATGCTTCCGTCGGTTAAAGCCCTTACACGCTGTGGTATTTCTGGTATAGACACCCCTCAAACACCTCAAGTTCCAGGGCTCCTGTGAGTTAAAGACTCTGAAGGTGGCAGGACCCTAGTGCTGCTCTACAATTTAAATGCCCAAGGATTCTGGAATGTTCTAAAGCCCCAGACACCAAGGGCCCAAAGGCTCTGAGAACGAGCAGCTCTTTATTCACACCCAATGGCCTTGTCTGATACCCATGTAACAGTTCAGACCATTCCAGGACACTCTGTGTCTGTCCCCCTTTGCTCACGCCTCCTGTCCCCACCCCTACTTCCCACGCCTCACCCCACCCCACCCCCAGTCTGCTGGCCTTGCTTTTGCCACAAAAGCTTGGGAAAATCTGAGGACTCTGGGGGCGGGAAATGGCAGGGAACTGAGGGGAGGTGTGGGGGTCTGTGGGTCCCTCAGGTCACCGTGGGGCAGGAGACTTACCTTCAGGTCCCTGTGTACAATGTTTTTCTGGTGACAATAGTGCACAGCCGATACAATCTGGGGGTGGGGGAGGGGAAGGAAGGGAAAGAAAGCCAGTTTGACTGGTGGCCCTCAGATCCCTCAGGGACCCCAGAAATCCACTCATAACGGAACTCCTCAGGCACAGCACAGGCCCAAACTCCAAAGGCCTCCACCCCACCCCATCTCCAATTCAGTCACAGCAGAGACACTTCAGGGGCCCCGCATGTCACCCCATGGACCTTAGGACTGGCTCTCTCTTGGCCTTTTTACATCAGCAAACTCAGTGACGTAGCCCCAACATGTCAGTACCTCCTGTCAGGGCAGGTGACAGTCCCAGGTGGGCACCTTCCCACCCACCTTCAACACCCAGGCCTCCCCCTGCTACCTGGGCACCTTCAGGCCCTCAAACCCACCAACCTGCAGATCCGCACCTGGGCTGCCTTCCATACACCTGGGCACCCTGAGTCCCTCTTGCCCATACACCTGCATACCCTCCTACCCACCAACCTAGGTACCCGCACCTGGGCTTCCTCCCACCGTGTGACTTACCCACCTGACTCCCTCCCACCGTCTTAGCCCCCTGGACACTCCACTGGCATGGTTTAACCCACATGGACTTACACCCCCTACATGTGCCACCTCCCCATATGCTGGGCTGCCACATACCCTCTTACCTGGGCACCCACTCACCCTGCCCTCCCACCAGCTCCTGATCTTCACTCCTACACACCATCCAGGCACCTGTGAGCCTCCACATCCACATATGCCCCCACACACCCGAAACCTGGGCCCCTTGGTGCCTAAGCATTCTCCTGCCATCCACCCAGCCGTGCAGACATCCAACCCTGCATCCTCCCCACCATCCCGACTTAAGCCAGCCCAGACCCACGCTCACCTCTCAGACCCTCACCCCCAGGTACAGAGAACACCTTCAACCCTACCCTTGACTCTGACCTGTCGGAACTTGGCTCGAGCTTCTTTCTCCTTCATGCGGCCATGTGACACGAGGTAGTCAAACACTTCTCCTGCAGGGCAAAGGTCATGAGGGTCAAGTCAGGGCATGGGGGCGCAGGGCAGGGGCACAGAAGTTGGGGGGGGGGGCCTCACCGGCACTTGCGTATTCCATCACCAGGTACAGCGTTTTCTCAGTTTCGATGACTTCGAAGAGCTTCACTGTAATCAGTGGCAGGAGGTGAGGCAGGCAGGCACTGCAGCCACTCAGTGACTCTGCAGTTATGCCAACCACAGCACCTCCCCACCCACCTCAAGAACCCTCACAGTGGCTGGCTCCTGACCGGTGGCAAAAATTTCCAAACACCTCGGCCCCTGCCCCACACACCTTTACTGTGTTCTCGCTCACTACAACGTCAGCTCTATGAGGCCAGGGATTTGAACCTCTTCTGTTCCCACTGTTCCCAGCCCCTAGAAGCCACGCAATTACTATTTACTGATTACGGAACGAGGAAGCAATACTAGAGCCACATCCAAAAACACAAACACAAACACAAACCATCGCTGGGAGTGGTTTCTGACTCACAGCGATCCTACAGGTCGGAGTAGAAGTAACTGCCCGTTAGGGTTTCCAAGGCTATATAATCTTTCAGGAGTCCTGGTGGCTCTGCAGGATAAGCACTGGACTGCTAACCACAAGGTCAACGGCTCAAACCCAGCAGCCACTCCTCAAGGTGAAGTTCTCTGCTCTAGGCAAGATTGGCAATCTCAGTAACCCTGCACCGGGTTGCTTCGGCTACTGTTATAGTTTAGTGCCGCTGAGACGGTTCCGACTCATAGCAACCCTGTAAAGAGTTTCCAAGGAGCAGCTGGTGGGTTTGAACTGCAGACCTTGCAGTTAGCAGGCTGGTGCTTATCCTACGGCGTCACACCAGGTCCCTACAGGGTCACTAAGAGTCAGAATGGACTCAATGACAATGTTTTTGGTTTGAGTGTATGTGTTTGAAGAATTTTTAAGGAAGCCGACTGTCTCAGCTTTCCCCCAAAGAGCAGCTGATGGGTTTGAACTGAAGACCTTGCAGTTAGCAGCTGAATGCCTAACCACTGTGCCATCTGGGCTCTTCCCTTCAGCCACATCCAGGCCAGGCTAACTCTACTGTCCCCCACTCAGTGAAGACGCCTCTCTTCCCCTCTGCCTAACAGGAACAGCGATGATACTGATGACCACAAGACCAGGTGGACAGTATGCTGTTCTAGATACCAGACTCACAGTGACCCTCCGCACACCAGAAGGAGACACTGCCTGGGCCTCCACTATCCTCACAGCTGTCGCTGTTTGAGCCCACTGTTACAGCCACTATGTCAATCCAGCTGGTAGAAGGTCTTCCTCTTTCTCCAGTCTACTCGACGGAGCCAAATCGCATCCCTTAGCCCTGCATGCATGACCTTTCTCAATCCTCACCATGACTTTGAAGTAGGCCCTCTGAGCTCCAGCTCTCCAGGCTCAGAGAGGTTAAGTGGCTTACCCAAGGTCACACAGCCAGTAAGCAGAGATGACACTATGAGAAACCAGATCTCTCTAATTATACTAACTGCCAGCCACCCTACCCCTGAGGACTCTCCTTTCTCCAAGTACCCCAGCTGATGGTGGTCTGCCTTGGCGCCCACTCCCTTTCCCTCCTCACCGATGTTGGGGTGGTTTAGGCCCTTCATGATGCGAACTTCTCGGAACAGCTGGGTGTGGCCAGAGAGGAAGACAAACAGGGCTGGGTGAGACTGGGTGGTTGGGGAACCCTCTTACTCACACACCTGGGCCCCCTCCCACCTTCTTACACACCTGGAGGCCCACAGGCCTTGTTACTCACCCACCCTCTTATCTCCACACCTGGGCATGAGCAGGAGGGATTGGGCGGGTCACCCAGCTGGCCCAGGGACCTGGTCCCCTCCCGCCCTCTCCCTGGGCCTCACCTTCTGCAGGCTGCTGGGGTTCAGCTGGGTTTTGTCAATGATTTTGATGGCAACCTGGAGGCAGAGGGAGAGAGAAGAAGGGTCAATGGTTTAGAAAAGGCCTCCTAGCTCAGACCATTCACTCTCTCTCAAAAAGAGTGCCCTCAAGCCCAGCTAGTCTTAGAGGATGGACTTTGGTGGAGGTGGGAGGCACAGGATCTACATGCTGTTCCCTGTCTCTGCTATGACCCCTTCTTCTATAGGGAAACATCCCCCTATTCCACAGTGGGGCCTGCGAGTATGTGAGGACGTCTCAGATCATGCATCTAGCATCTATTTGTTCTTAATACACAAACGATGGAGCTGGAAATAAAGACTGTAACAAGCCCTCGCTACATGTAGCGCTGTAGGATAAGCACTGGACTGCTAACTGCAAGGTAGGTGGTTCAAACCCACCAGCCGCACCTTAGGAACCCATTGCAGGGTCATTATGAGTTGTAATTGACTTGACAGCACTTAACTACAACAACACTATGTGCCCGGCCCTGGACTACACGCTTCACCCAAAGAACACTGAGTCCTGGAACCATGCGATGTTTGCCAGGATCATTCCTGTCTTACAAACAGAGAAACTGAGGCACAGAGCATTTCACCACTTGGCCATGGCTCCATGGCTAGTAAGCAGTGAGCCAGGATTTGCACTCAGGCGTCTGGTAAGAGTCTACCTCTCCAACGCCAAATGCTTTTTTTTTTAAAAAAACAACAAAACAAAACAGGTTTTTGAGAGCATATTACCATTAACTGCAGAGGGAAAAATTGGGATATTACTAAACTCTCCTTCCATTCACACTACAGTTGAGTGGAGTTTTATTTTAATTACACTGAGTGATCACCATACTTTTTTCAGCAGTAAGAGGCCTCAAGTCTCTAAGGGGCTCTGGTGCCGCAGCAGTTACAGCGCAGGGCTGCAAGCCAAAAGGTTGGTTTGAAGACACCAGCTGCTCCAAGGGGAAAAGGTATAGCAGTCTGCTACTGTGCTGATTCACAGCCTGGGAAACCCTCTGGGCTGGCCCACTTTGTCCCACTGGCTGCGGGGAGTCAGAATCAATTCAATGGCAGTGAGTTTTGATTTTTCATCTTTTAAGAGGCCACAAAAAGTCTCAATCCAACCCTGAAAAACAAGTTATTACTGAGTTGACTTCGATGCATGGTGACCTCCCCAAGTGTGTCAGAGGAGAACTGTGCTCCAACGGGGCTCCAATGGTTCGTTTTGCAGAAAGTAAGCACCAGTTCTTTCTTATGAGGCTCCTCTAAGTGGACCTGGGAGTGCGATGGCTCCAGGCAATAAGCGCTGGACTGCGAACCACAAGGTCAGCAGTTTGAGCACACCAGCTTCTCCGCAGGAGAAAGATGAGGCTTTCTGCTTCTGTGAAGGTTTAAAGTCTCGGAAGCTTTATCTTATACACGGTTGCTATGAATCGGAACTGACTTGCCAGCACTTAACAACTGGGTAGATTGGAAACTCCATTCTTCCGGTTACAAGCTGAGCACAGTAACTGTCTGCCTCTCCCAGGGACTCCTCAATCAGACCTAGGTTTCTAGTTTTTGCAAACGGTTTTGGGACAATGCCCTTAAAATCCCCACATTAAAGAATTCTTCCCCTGGGAGGCCAACTCTGTTAAAAACCAATCCTCTTAGAAACCCCTGGAATCATAAAAAAAAAAAAAAATCCACATATGGGAAACAACATGTTCTTTGTGGGGGAGAGGGGTCCTTTAGCTTTCTGCATATTCACACGAATGGGTTTTTAATTTTGTCAAACGCTTTTTATGCCAGTATCAAGACGATCAGATGGCTTTTTCTCTCCTTTAATCTGCGAACATGGCAAAGTACATGAATAAATTGGCAAATGGGAAAGAATTTTGCATTCCTGGGATAAACCCAGCTTCGTCACCATACATCTTTCTTCACCAATTTGCCAGATTCTACTTGCTGAAGTTCTGTTTTAAGAATTTTGTATCTAAGTTCTTGAGTAAGATTGGCCTGTAATTTTGTTGCTCTCCTGGTCAAACAAGCACATCACATCTTTTTAGTGTCTGGATGAATTGACATACATTTTAAAGTTTGGTAGAATCGGCCCATAAAACCATTGGGGCCAAGTGTCTTTTGTGTGAATCACGTAGCAGAAGAGTCCGTCTAACACAGGACAAATGGCTCCAGTCACTTTGCTCTAAGGCTGAAAAGGACTACAGAGGAAACAGAAAATCACCCACTATATTTTTTTTAAGTGTGAGTGAAACGCATCCCATCTGGGTTACAAGGTCTGAATGGGTCCCTTCTTTCAAAATCTTTCCATACTTCTCAATACATATGCCCAACCAAGAAAGGGAGTTCAGGGCAGTAGGGATGTAATTGAGAATTCAAGGCCATTAAACCTGGTGAGTTCTCATCAACAGCATGGGAAGATTTGGTGGAACCAAGGGCCATCATTAAAATTGGGGGATGGTCCAGGGTCGGACTTCTGGTGTGGCGCTGTATGATCAGCATTGGACTGTGAACTACAAGGTCGGCAGTTCAAACCCACCAACTCCTCTTCGGAAACACTATACAGAATTGTTATGAATCAGAACCAGCTGGAAGGTATTTAACAACAATAACACGTGGCACTGGAGGACTCTCCTAACAACGTCAGGGATGCCTGAAATGGGCACTCTTTTGAAGAGACAGCTCTGGAACCATCCCAAATGTTCCATTCTGTCCCAGAGAGAGTCAAGAACTTGTCTGAGGTCCCAAAGCAAACTGAGGCCTGAGCTAGGTCTCCAGCTCTGGGAAACAAGCCCCGTCTGCATCCCCACACTCACCTCCCGGCCAGTGAGGATGTGCCGAGCCAGCTTGACTTTGGCAAAGTTGCCCTTCCCAATGGTCCTTAGCAGGCGGTAATTGCCCACATGGGGCTGCTCCTCCGGACAGGAAGCAATGGAGTTCCGGCAGCGGGCACCCAGGGAGCGGCTGGACCAGGATGGCCCTTTGTCAGAGGAGCGGCCACTGCCCAAGGTGCCATGCTGGATGGGGGGAAAGCAGAATGTGAGGTGGAGGCCAGCGTTCTGCTGGGCCACTTAACTCCAGCCCTGGACGCTGGTCCTTCGTAGACATTTTCTAATCCAGATCATGGAGGACCATGATGCCGGGGGTCCCCCATTATCTATCCTCAAGTTGTCTTTAAGAATAAACATATGTGGGTACAAAGACCAATGGAGGCCTCTTTACTGCTCCCTCGGCCAGTCTACTTGCAACTTCCTGTTCTAATGACTACATTCTCTCCACAAGATTCTCCTCCAAACCAGGCTGCTCTCAACCCCAGTAGTGACCTCAATTTGGGCTCAATGCTCCACCCCACCCCCACCTGTCTTCACACTCTACCCCAACCCCCACCTGTCCCCAACACTCTACCCTACCTCCACCTGTCCCCAACCATCAGCTGTCTCCACACCCCACCCTAACACCACCTGTCCCCCACACTCTACCCCAAGTACCACCTGTTCCCCACACTCCACCCCGCCCCCACCTGTCTCCCACACTCTACCCCAACCATCACCTGTCCCCACACCCCATCACTGTGATCACCTGTCGTCACACTCCATCCCTACCACCACCTGTCCCCATACCCCACACCACTGTTCCTACCAGCCACCAAGTCAACCACCACCTGTCCCCACATTCACCACATCCACATCCACCGCTCCCAACATTCAATCCATCACTGCTCTATTCTGTTCCCCAAATTCTAGTCCCAACCCAAAGTCAGTATTGTATTCCCAATTTGCTCCTAGCTTTTCATCCTAAACCCTATTCCAAACACCATTATTTCCAACAGAACTTTCCAAATCTCCCTCTGTCCTAAGTACCCACTCCAGCCCTTGTCCCCCTCCTGCTGTAAGAGACACTTACAGGATACACTGTAGCCCTGACCCACTGTCTCCCACACCATTGGTCCTATCTGTCCCCAATGACATTCTGTTCCTACTGTCCTGTCCCTCCGCAGCTTCTCTCCCCTGCAGGTCATCAGCCTGCTCCTAGCTGCCCTGTCCTGACTGTGAGTCCCAGGGATGACATCGCCCTTTCAGTGCTGAGGCCCAGGGTGTGGGCAAAAGCAGGGGGACAAAAGGAACTGAGGGTCAGAGGTGGCCAGGTGGCCCTGAGCACCCTGGTCTGCCTCCCTGCCAGGACACGTGTAAGGAATGCAAACCACATGCTACAATTTGCAAGCCTCCCAACAACCCTGGAGAACAGGTGCAGCTACCACCCCATTTTATAGGTAGGAGAAAGGCAGTCACCTGTCCAAGGTCACACAGGTGGAGGGGAGCAGATGGCACCTGGGGGGCTGAGGTTCTTCACTTCTCCCCCTACCCTCATGCTGCCTTAAGCCCCCATATCACTGTCACCCTTTCGAGGCAGCATTTGCTATGGGCCACACTCAAAGCCCACAGCAGTCCAGCAAGGGACACATCTGCAACCCCATACTCCAGAGTGGAAGGCCGAGGCTCGAGCATTTCAATCACAGGTAGCAGAGCAGGATGTCCCCTACAACTGGGTGACAGCAACCACCATTGCTCAAGTCTCCCGTGGGGGTCCAATGATCGCCCCATCCTGCAGAGAGGACCCCAGGCAGATGAGACACTTTGCCCAAGGTCAAAGGGAAGGTGGAGCAGAGCAGGGAGTCAAACCCAGGCATGCTAGCATGGCTCCAATGAGCTCCCTTCTCGGCAGAGCTCACAATCCCAGGCCTCCTCCCAGGGCCGGTGGGAAGGCAAGTGGAGATTCTGGCCCTGATAAAGCTGCCCATCTCCGCTGAGACGCCAGGTGGCACCTGGGGACCCACCTGGTGGTGCTCTGGCACCCCACTGCAAGAAGTGCAGGGGGCAGTGGGTGATAAAGCCCCCAGGGGCTGGGGGTGGGAGGCAGCACCACCAGCTGCCTGGCTGGCACCCCAACACTACTGGGCCTGTTGCTAAGGAACCTCTGGAGAGGGAGAAGCTGGGTGCTAGGGGCCCTAAAACCTGGTGTAGGGGAGCATGACCCCACATAGCTATTGTCATAGTAACCAAGTGGCAGAGGAGGGGTCTTCAAGGAGAACCTCAGATTCTAAAGACTCTTCCCCCATGACAGAAAAGCAAGTCTTCGACAAGATTTGGGGAGAGGAAAAAGGGGTGAGCTGTGCTCAAAGCCACCCCCTGCACCAATCTGAGCCATAAAAGGAGAAAGAAGTCTTTATAAGCCCAGTTTACAGATGAGGAAAGTGAG